CGCGGGGGGCGAGCGGCGGCGCGGCCGGGCTGTGTGGGCGCAGCATCCGCCTCGAGGGAGCCCTGGGTCCGTGGCAGCAAGTGGGCAGCTCTTGAGCGGTCATCCCCAAAATGGGCAAAACTCACCCAATCCTGGAGACGCTCGGGATGCCCCGGCATGGGACGTGGCGTCACAGCCCGGGCGTCCTCCTCCGCTCCTGCCCCCCCCAGGAGCGCCGGCAAGCGAGGAGCGCACCCTCCTCCCGGGCTGGGGTGCAGCTCGGCCCACACAGAGGGGAGCGATTCCTCCGTCTCCTGACTGCTGGATCCTGTGGGATGCTCCCGGCCCCCAGCGCCCCTCACTCCTCCTGAGGGGGCAAAGCCCCTGCATCGGACCATGCTTTTAATTCCTCACCCCCGCAAAGAGCGGGGTCTTTAGCAAATGCTGTCCTGGGTGATCAAACCTTCCCCTGGAGGGGTTTGGCATTCCCGGGGAAATATTACCTGCGTGGTAAGAGACGTGTGAAAAATCTCAGGAATAAAACACGCAAACCCTGCCTGAGCTGACACCAGCTGAATCCGTGGCTGAGAACAAGAAACCCCCAGGTCCCAGCAGATATTTTACATTTCTTCCCAGCGTCCCCAGCACGGGAACTCCTGGTCTGCTCCGGCAGCGGGCGAGCACTGGCTCAGCACTGGCTCCAGGCGCAGGGAGTCTCCGATCCGGCTGAGCCATCGTGGGCAGCGCTGCCTGCTGCTGCCTGGCCCTTGATTTAACCTGCAGTTTGACGCAGCGCAGGAGCAGCCGTAACCTCAAATCTCACCAAAACCATCTGCCAGCGAGAGGTCTCGTGGGAGGAGAGGCTAAAACGAGGGGCTCGCTGCCCTGGGCGTGGGATGCTGGGTGCTGCGGCCCCCCTGCACCATCCTTCTGCAGGGGCCTGGGCCCTCCCAGCGGCGGTGGCAGCGGTGGCCTTGCCTGGTGGCTGTACTTAAAACACGGCAGGGGAAACTCAGAGGGGATGCAAGAGACGCAAACCCGCTGCAGGCAGGGAGGGGGTTTCAGCAGCCCCCAGGGACCAGCAGCAGTGACGCAGCGGGTCCTTCCTCTCGCCCACCACTGAAAGGGCTTGGTTTCATACCCTGGTCTCTGAGGGTCACCGATCCTGAACAGCTCGGAGCAGGTTTTATGGAGACAAGTTTTTTCTATGACCAAAACCGCTGCCGGCCACAGCGACAGCGTGGGTCCCTGTTGTCTCCTGTACGTCGAGGCGTCAGTTCTGCATGCGTTCATCACCGCGCCTGCTCCCCACGAGCAAGAACCTGCCGCCTGGAGCTGGTGAGAAGGTGGGAGAGCGGCCGGCCCCTGTCCCCACCCGGCAGGGACAGCCATGCCCTGCGGCAGGAGCTGGCTCCTTCCCACCCAGAGCTGCTGGGTGCGAGGGGATGGTGGGGAGTGAAAAAAAAACAGTAAACTGCCGTTGCCTGATGGTTTCCCAAAGCAATGGGGCTTACGTGACTGTGCTGTGTCTGCCTGCTGGTCCCCACCGCCAAACGCTGTCCCCTGGAGCCCTCCCGGTTCCCCGCAGTCGTGCCGGAGGTGCTGTGTGCCGAGCGCCAGGCGAGGGGGTGCAGACGAATCCCAGCACCTTTGGGACCAGGGTGGAGAGGGCAGTGCTGGACGGGCGGCAGCCCTGCGCGCCCGCGGCATTTTTTTTTTTTTATTTTGCCGAAGACCATCGTTTCCCACCCCCTCCCCTTAATTGCACAGAGAGAACGAGCTCCCCAAAAAGCTGCTTAAGCGGTTCCCTTTGGGGTCCCTGTCCCACCTCCCCCAGCTTTGGGAGCTCCCGTGGGGCATCACCAGCTGCCCAACAGCTCACGCCTTGGGCTGAGTCTGTACCCCCGGTCCCAGGGGACACCCCAGCCCGGAGCAGGAGCCGGAGAGCCCTCATCCTGCCCTGGGCACCGGTGGGTGCCAGCTGCCCCGGCTCGGCCCCGGGGGCCGGGAGGGCGGTGGCTGTGGGAACCCCTGGGGTGCTGGGCCATGGGGCAGGGGCGCGGGTGTTTTAGGGGGCTTCAGGTGCCCCAGCTGGGGGATGCAGTGCTGGAGGGGTCGCGGGAGCGATGGCATCCTCAAGCGAAATGGCTGCTCAGGCTCCCGTGACGCCTGCTCAGCCCGTTAACCCTTCTTGTCCCACTGCCCTCTCTGCCCGGAGGCTGGGGCCATCCCGGTCCATGTCCGGCGGAGGGGAGCCCCCGCCGTGGCCCACCCATACAGATCCTGGAGCACCAAGGTGCCAGAGGACCTTTTCCCAGGAGGTTTCCATGAAGACAGGACTGTAATGCCTTTCCCTGATCTCCTACCAGCACCAGCCCCCGGCGCTGTTAGACCGAAGGGTCCCAGGGTTGGGGCGAGTGTGCAAAGGGGGTCCCCCCAAGCCCTGTACATCCCTGCACGTGGGTGTCCCGTCTGTCTCTGGCTGGGCCGGGGGTCCTGGTGTGGGTGGCCGGGTGCCCCCCTCCCCACACCAGGCGCTTACCCCACGGCCTGGGCTCACAGCCCTCCGGTGTCACTGGGCGCTTGCTGGAGGGAGAAGGGGGGTCCCAGCAGCACAGCCCGAGGGCAGGGGGGAGAGATACCCCCTTCCCCAGCCCCAACCTGCCACCTGCGGGGCTGTGACCCTGGGGTGCTGAGCGGGGCAGCCCGGGGGCTCTGGGCTCAGGGCACCCGCTGGGCTCGGTGCTGGTGCCAATACTAGTGCTGGGGCCGACGCTGGGGCCAGGGCCAGGGCTCAGTGCTGATACTGGTGTTGATGCTGGTGCCGGTGCAGACAGTGGTGTCAGCGCTGGTGCCGATGCCGGTGCCAATGCTGATCCTGACACCGCTGCTGATGCCAATACTGGTGCCGGGGCTTGGTGCCCGTACCAGTGCCGGTGCCGATGTCGACGCTGGTCCCGATGCTGATGCTGGTGCCAGTGCTCAGTGCTGGTGCCAGTGCCGATACCAGTGCTGATGTCGATCCTGACACCGGTGCTGATGCCCATACCAGTGCGGGGCTCGGTGCCGGTGCCGATACTGGTGCCGGTGCCAATGCCGATACCGGTGCCAGGGCTTGGTGCTGGT